TGGTGGTGGTGGGGACCTCTGTCAGTGGTGCCACGGGTTTTCAGTGTAGGGCCTCTCTTTGGGCCTAGGAACCGAGTCCTGGCGGCAGCTTCTCTCGCTAGAGAATTAGAGCGCCCTTAGCTGGGCCTGGGGTGGAATGGGGAGGTGGAAGACCCTTGTAGTAGAACCGAGATGGGGGGGGCAGCTAGACGGGAACAGGATTTGGCAACTCTTGGGGGCTAGGGTGGTGGGTGGGGCGCTCTTTAAGAAAGCTGGAGTTGTTGCTAAAGAAACCGAGAGGCGGGGAACACCTGTTTGATGGCAGTATGTCTGTTGATGTGGGCTTGTGAAAGACCCTCTTATTATTTGGAACCTCCGTGTGTGTTTTCTTATAACAAGGGAGAGGAAGGTTCATGTGCCAAAGGTGGGTGTGGGTGGGAGGGCATATGTGACAAACAAGCATGGGAATTTGGGAAGAGCCTTGGATGTGAAGGAGAAACCCCTGCAGTTCAAGTTAAGGGAATTCTTCCAAAAAGGTCCTGAAAACTCATTTCATAGTGTGAGTTTGAATATTTGGATTTATTAAGACTCTGGGACTAAAGAAGATGCCTTTATGATGGACATCTTTAGTTGTAGAAGGGAGGACGTTAAAGTTTGGGTGTCCTTAACAGAATACCATGCTTGTCAGAATGTGAGGGGACGCTTGTTTCTCCAGGAGACCCCCGCATTGTGAGGGATACTGTGGGGAGTGTACCTAAGTATCTCTGGGTTCCCTCCCCCAGAGCTTTTCTCCAAGGTCAAAGCTCCTTAGGCTCACATCATTTAACAAACTTGCTCTTGTATTCTCATCACCATGGGGGAGAATCCTCTGAAGGAGTCTGGGGAGGATTCGGTGAGCTGGGGTACAGAGGACCTCCGGTCTGTATTCTGGCATACCTCAATAAAACTGGAAGGAATAAAGCCAGGTAGGGGTTGCCTAGGTCAAGGAATTTCCAGAAAGCCCTGAGTGGTAGAGGTGGTTGACTCACTGATTTGGGGAATGGGCCTGGCCTTGGATTCAGTGTCTCCTTTACCAGTCCACTCCTTCCACTTTCTGATTTAGGGTGAGGATTGTTTCTGGGTGCTCATGGTTATAGGCAGGGCTATTTCCCTGAGACAAGGGTTAGGAGGGAAGAAGAGCCTGTGGTCTGAGATGCTGAGATGTGTGTAAGGAAAACATGTTAGCTGCTGTCCTCTCTGCCTGGCTTTTCTCGGAGCATCCCCCTTTCTCCCTGTAACATATCAGTTTTCTGTTCTGGGTGCAGGGCTGGGCTCCAGCCCATCCAGAGACAGGTTCCTTGCAAAATTGCTCTCCTCTGGGCAGCACTGACCCCACAGCCTTTTGTCTTTCCTTTCTTCCTTTCCAATCTGGTTTCTCCCCCACCCCCTTTCTGGCAGATGCTTAGAGCATTCCCTACATGCCCAGCATGTGCAACCCAAGATAGCAGTGCAGGACACCCGAGCTGTGGCGGCCCTCATCACAGCCCCGCAAGAAAAGAAGAGCAGATGCCTTGGGATTAGGGGAGAGGGCCCTTTGGTTTGCAAGTGGAGAACCTTGTTCTAGTGAGCCTTGGGATCTAGGGAGGGACGGAAGAGCATTTATGCTTAGAAGAAAAGAGCAGAAGTGGGAATTGCCAGGGTTTGCATGAGAGAGTATGAGTGTTAGAAACAGGAGCCTCTAGAGAAGGCTTGGAGAAGCTGAAGGCCAAGGTGGTGACGTCCTTGTCCCTTGCTCACCTCCCACTCACAGCCCTTACTTCACTCTGTCCTTCTCGATACCCTATCAGTCTGCCTGGCAAGTGGGGCTTTCCAGCGTTCTCTGCCTTGCCCTGGGTACCAGGATACGGAGGCTGTTCAGAGGGCTGATGTTCTCTGCAACTTGTGACTTGGCTAGTAGAGACAGAAATGGACAGGTGGCTGGTTAAAATAGGCCTGGTGGCCCTCAGCCAGAGGAACTTAGCTGACCTGACAACCCCTGGATTCCCTCATCCTCTGTTACCCTTAGTGACCCAAGGACCTCCCCTCCTGACTCCAACCTCCTGTCCACCAAGGAGTCTGAGGCTCTCAGCTCCCAATGGGAGGTGATGGCAGTTGTCACAAAGAATCCTTGCAGTGGAGGTTGGGAGGGCCAGGCATTTCTTTGTTCCGAGTGGTAGGATAATATGGTTAAGGGGGCAGGTTCCTGGGTTGGACTGCATGTGTAGAATCCTGGTTCCCCCAATTCATTGATTCTAATGTTAACTACAGTGTTCTAGGAACATAGCCACAATCAAGACAAAATCCGTGCTTTCATGGAATTGTCACTCTAATTAAAGGGGCAAACAACCAAATAAGATAATTGCTAGCTGTGTGGTCTCAGGCAAGGTATTTAATCTCTCCAAGCCTTGGTTTCTTTTTTTTTTAATTGAATTGTAGTCAGTTTACAATGTGTCAATTTCTGGTGTACAGCACAATTCTTCAGTCATACATGAATATATGTATATTATGTATATATACTTTTTTTTTAATCCTTGGTTTCTTCATCTTTAAAACAGAGATGGCGGGAAGGTAAAGCTCAGTGGGAGAGTGTGTGCCTAGCGTGCACGAGGTCCTAGGTTTAATCCCCAGTGCCTCCATTAAAATAAATGAATAGCTAAAACCAAGATGATATTATCGTTGTTGTTGTTGTTGTTGTCGTTGTTGTTGTTAAGAGTTGTTTTGATGATTAAATGAAATAACCATTAGTTACTTACACGATGACCAGTATCTGGTAGACATTCAACACATGCTACCTATTGTTACTGGGGAAGATTTCCTTGTTAGGGGTTCTGATCCTCTCTCTTGCTATTCCCAGGTAATTCAGTACCAAACTGTTCGATATGATATCCTTCCCCTATCTCCTGTGTCCCGGAATCGGCTAAGTGAGTATGCTGGCTGGGAAGAAACCTAGGTGAGGTAGGGTTCAAGGTCTTGGCTGGAGGTTGGTTGGTGTTATCCCTTGCCATTGTGGTTCAGGCCAGGTGAAGAGGAAGATCCTAGTGCTGGATCTGGATGAGACACTTATTCACTCCCACCATGATGGGGTCCTGAGGCCCACAGTCCGGCCTGGAACGCCTCCTGACTTCATTCTCAAGGTGTGTGGGGCTGGGAAGTGATGGAATGGTTATGTCTGTTGTTCTCCCAGATTCTTTCCCAATCCCAGAGCATCTGGTCCCTGGCCCTGTCCCATCCCCTGGCACCAGTGGCAGCCTGAAGGAGGGAAGCAGGTGGTGGGGGTGGAGTGGGGTGGGGTGGGTCCTTTAGGCCTGTGTTGTGTGCTCAGCACTGCTTCCAGCCCTTCCCTGTTCCTCTGCAGGTGGTGATAGACAAACATCCCGTCCGGTTTTTTGTACATAAGAGGCCCCATGTGGATTTCTTCTTGGAAGTGGTGAGTTTGCAGAAGCTAAAGGGAGGTCTGTGATGAAGGAATGGTTTTAAGGTTCTGGGAACTTAGAGGATTTGGAGGAAGTAAGGGATTAGGAGAAATGGGAACAGGCAGTTTTGGACAGAGGTTGTGGGATGGTGGGAGAATGGCTTTCATGAGGGTCTATTTGTTGTGCTGATGTAATGCTATTCTTCCACAGACTTCCTACTCTTATTCTTGTATCTCTACTCCTACTGATGTATGATGCTTAGTTTGAGGACATTCAGAATTTTGTGTCCTCAAAGACATTCAATGTTGCTGAAAGGCCCAAATGACTACACTGGAGTCTTCGGGAAAGGGAACTATATATCTAAATGAACGATTACCTCTTCTGACACCTTCCTCTTCTCCAATTTATTTCAGGTGAGCCAGTGGTACGAGCTAGTGGTGTTCACAGCAAGCATGGAGATTTATGGTTCTGCTGTGGCAGATAAACTGGACAATAGCAGAAGTATTCTCAAGAGGAGATACTACAGACAGGTAAGGGGCTAGAGTCCAGGTCTAAGAGTGAGGCTTGGGAGGCAGGTCATCAGGGAGGGATCTGAGCTGAAGGCAGATGCCCTGGAATGGGACCCTCTGGGGGTGGGGGTGGGGGTGTGGTGCATAATCCCCTTTGTGGGAATTGGCTGCCTATTGGCATTGCTGGGATTGGGGGAGCAATCACAGAGGGCGAGTCTCCTTTTGATGCCCAGCTCATCCTGCCTTCCAGCACTGCACTTTGGAATTGGGCAGCTACATCAAGGACCTCTCTGTGGTCCATAGTGACCTCTCCAGCATTGTGATCCTGGATAACTCCCCGGGAGCTTACAGGAGCCATCCAGGTACGGGGGAAGGTAGTGAGTCTGGCAGGACTAGGAAGTGGTTCTGAGGAGGTATTCTGAACACCTAGAGCTGAGATTCCATCGTTTACAGTTGGTCAGGATGCAAGCTATTTCTCTTTTAAATGAGATGCCCCCCCCAAATAGGTCCATTTCATAAATCAGATTTCTCATATCAAATTTGCTTCAGGAAAGACATAATGGTAATAAGTTTGACTAGAAGCCTCACACTAGTATAAGATACAGTGATTAACGTTTAATTTAATTTGGAGGATAAATCACGAAGGTTTTACCTAGGTCACTGAGTTTGAGGGGGTATATATTTTAAAGTAATGATCCCCACCCCCAAATAAAAGGAACAACACCCTGTCTCTCTTGAATCCTTTGTTCTCACATGCCTTTTCACCCACCCTAGACAATGCCATCCCCATAAAATCCTGGTTCAGTGATCCCAGCGATACCGCCCTTCTCAACCTGCTTCCGATGCTGGATGCCCTCAGGTAAGAGAAACTAGACAGATTCTGAGGAAAGGAGGAGGTGGGAGATCCCAAGAGGGAATAAACGTTTGTTCTGTTTTACTTATCTCTTTTCCCTTAAGAACGTAGCATTTGAACCCAGATCCTCTTAAAGCTTATTACTTTTAGCCACTGGGTTTTGGGCAAACTGAACCTCCGTCTCATGTGAAAGTGGTGATCATTTCTGCCCCACTTCTTAAGTGAGGCTACCTTACTCTAGTCTTGTGAGTGTATCAACTCTAAGGACTCTACCAATGCAAGTTATTGTCGTCCCAGGTTCACCGCTGATGTTCGTTCTGTGCTGAGCCGAAACCTTCACCAACATAGGCTCTGGTGACAGCTGCTCCCCCTCCACCTGAGTTGGGGTGGGGGGGAAAGGGAGGGTGAGCCCTCAGGATGCCGTCTGATGCCCTGTCCAACCGTGAGGACTGCCTGGGCAGGGTCTGCCCTTCCCACCCCTCTGCCCTGGGAGCCCTGGACTCCCTTTGGAGTCTGAATGGACACATGGGCCACATTCTGAAGCAGCCTCACTCTAACTTCGTGTTCGCACTCCCTGGAAACCCCAGACTGGGACATAAGCCGAGGCCTAGGAGAGCCGAAACAGTGTCTGTTGGAGAGACAGGACTGGCCAGAGTGAGAGAGAGACATTCGGTAATCCGGGAGGCTCAAAGAGAAGCCAAGCCAGCTTTGTTGTGATCTGATTTTTTAAAAACTCTTGTACAAAACGGATCTAATTCTTCACTCCAAGGGCTGGGCTGTGGGTGGGAAACTGGGATTTTGGGCCACTGGATTTTCCCCAAACATGTCCCCTCCCTTATTTTCCCCTCTATTTCCCCTTCTTTCTAGATTCCCTCAGACCTGTAACTAGCTTTCTCTCTCTCTCTCTTTTTTTTCTTTCTTCTCTTTTAAACCATGCATTATAACTTTGAAACCAAAGCTGCCCTAGGTCCTTCTCTGGGGGTTCTGGGAAATGAAGGGAGGGGTCTTTGTTCACACCCACCCTTCCCCTAGGCAGAGGAGAAAGAGGCTGCTGTGGACCCGAGGGGTAGGGGCAAAGGTGGTGTTGGCTTTCCTCGGCGGCGGGAAGGGTGTCAGTGACAGGATGGGTGCCCTGGCGGGGAGTGAAAGGACAGCTGTGTGTCTGGAGGGGACCTGAGCTTCAGAACAGCAGGACAGAGAAGTATGAAAAGAGGAGAAACCTGGACGCGGGAAAAGCCAGGCTTTGCCTGGGGGACTGAGCTGAGCAGGCACTGCCCCCACGCAGCAGACGCCCCAGGTCCTCCCGGCCTGGCGGCCCCACCTCCCCAACGCCCTCCTCTCCAGAGCCGGCACTACTTCCTCGCACCCGCCACGTGACGCTCCGCCCTTCTCTGAGATCACATGATTTTTTACCACACACACGCTGGCAGTGTTCTTCCGCGCTGACGTAGTCCCTACCTTTCGGACCTCCTCTTCAGTCCCTATTGGTCCTCTCCTTGGAACCTAAGCGTTTCTGTGCGGCTCTCCAAACATAGTCTTAGTTTCTGCCCTCCCCTATTTCCGGAGACCACTTCTACCTCTTTGGGTACTACTTTGTTTTGGTGTCAGCCGCCGCCTTCAGCGTACCAACATGTTTCGTGAATAGCTATCCTTGTAATTATCTGCTTTTTCCTCTGTGTTACTTTAGAAAAGAAGTTTTGGAGAACCAAGTCTCAAATTATGATTACCATCTCCTAGCCTTTTTCATCTTTAGCTTCTTAAGAGGAAGGTCGAGGAATGGGTTTTCAGTTACTTTCGTGGAGAATAGAGGTCAACCACCTTTCCTACGACACTTGCGTAGCTTATAAGTTGATTCCAAAGCGATTACGCTAACAGCGTGAGGTGGGGGCGGTCAGTAGGCGGTGCTGCGCTAATAGCGTTAGGGCCCCTGCGCCAGTGGCGTAACGTAACAGGCGGGTCCGCCCTTGATGGTCGGGGGCGGGGTTGGTGAATAGGGAAGTGGCGCAAGTCCGGGATCGCTCCGCTGAATCCGCCCGCGCGTCGCTGCTGTCGCCGCCGCCCCCCGTCCCAGCCCCCCCTCCCCGGGTTCCCTCAGCCCAGCCCGGTCCACCCCGGTTCCCGGGAGGATGAAGTTCGTGTATAAAGAGGAGCATCCGTTCGAGAAGCGCCGCTCTGAGGGCGAGAAGATCCGAAAGAAATACCCGGACCGGGTCCCGGTGAGGACAGTAGCCAGGGCCGAGGGCGCGGGGCGCTGACGCTGACGCCACAGCCTGGGCTTCAGTCCGGGACGGGCAGCGCGGGCATAAGGCTGCTGGCTGTGGCGGGGTTGGGAACAAGCCCAAAACTGCTGTCTCTGGGACCGGAGGTGAAGGGAGTGAGGTAGTGGTTGAGCTGGGGGTGGGGGGATGTAGACGGGAGAGACAGACCTTGGGATTTGTGTGGGAGGTTGTAGGGCGTTTGACAGTCTGAGCTTCACATGGTCATTCCCCTCAGGTAGCCAGGTTTTTGAGATTGAAGCTCTAGTCGGGCCAGACAAATCATCTTCGTCTGATTAAAATAATTGTTTGTTATGAAGCTGTATTCAGGGATCCTGGATGTTTAGGTGAGTTCCCAACTCAGGGCTGCGCCGCGTGTTCAGAGACAAAGAGAAATAAGTCTGGGGTAGATGTGGGTGCTAGGAATGTTGTTGTTTGAGTTCTTGACAGTTGAAGCTGTTGGGCTGTACACCTAATGCCTCCTAATTTTCATCTTCTCTTTGTCAGGTGATAGTAGAAAAGGCTCCCAAAGCTCGGATAGGAGACCTGGACAAAAAGAAATACCTGGTGCCTTCTGATCTCACAGGTGGGAACATGACCCAGTACCCAGGTTTGCTTCCTGAGGGTGGGAGTGCAGTCTTTGTTGAAGGAGGCTCCCCAGAGCAGGTGTTCTTTTGAAGGTATTTGTGGCCTTTGACTTTATCAGGTCTTATATTTTGGCAGTTGGTCAATTCTACTTCTTGATCCGGAAGCGAATTCATCTCCGAGCTGAGGATGCCTTGTTTTTCTTTGTCAACAATGTCATTCCACCCACCAGTGCCACGATGGGTCAGCTATACCAGGTATGGTGACTAGGAAGTAGTGAAAGCTCTGGAGAGGAGTGGAAGCACTTGAGAAGCAGAAAGTTTTAAGTCAGCAGTTCTTGGATGAGCTGGCTTGCTTAGCTCTCCGTTTTATCTTTGGCTTTAAAATTTCCAGATAGCCCTGGTTGGGGACTTGAACAGGGCAGTGGGAGTAGAGAGACGGGAGAGAATAGTGAGCTGGAGCAACTGTTGTGATCCAGACTCTCCCCAGGCCCCTCCCCGTTCTAAGGCAGCAGAGTACAGTGAGAGATATTTTTACCCAGGATTGTTGCTAGGATAATACTGCTCAGTGGCTAGAGTCTGGGGCAAGTGAGGGGAAGGAGAGTCAAAGCACTGGTTGGGGGGGGGTCTCAAAAAAAGGTTTTAGAGGAATGTGTCTAGGTGCAGGTGGTGGGTGGTTCAAGTAACTATAAAACCCAGTTGCCTGAGCATTGTCATTTTCTGCCTTCACCCCAGGAGCACCATGAAGAAGACTTCTTTCTATACATTGCCTACAGTGATGAAAGTGTCTACGGTCTGTGAAGCTGCTGCCCCTGACGAGGGGGGGTCTCATTCTACAAAGAGAGAGGTGGCCCCCCCCTACCTTGACCTACTCCTCCTTGAGGCTCAAACACCACCTCCTTTCTTCAGGACCTGCACTTCCTAATATTTGAGACCCTCCTCCAGACCCTCTAAACACTAGGGTTAATTGGGGAGATGGCCTCCAGTACCTCTCCTTTCTCCTTTCTTCCCTTTTCTTTACCACCTTTCCCGCTCTGCTTTAGACTTCAAGATTGTCAATCTCTGTCACATCCAGTAATTGTTTTGGTTTCTGTTCCCTTTCTAACTGCCCAAGGGGTCAGAACCCCAACAATCCCTTCTTTTCACTGCCCTCTTTTTTGGGGGTAGGTGGAAGGGACTGAAATTGTGGGGGGAAGGTAGGAGGCACATCAATAAAGAGGAAACCACCAAGCTGAACTGGATTTCACTTTGTGTTGCTCCCATCCCCCTCTTGTTCTCTAGTCGTCAGTGGTGGGGAAAGAGGAGGTTGGGGGGATATATATTTTGGCTTATCCTGTTTATGTTGGGCTTGTGCATAGAAAGTGTGCTTTTGCTGTGTTGGATGGACTACTCTGAGTATCGTTTCATGGAAGTTCAGTTATATACGTATGTATTGATTCGCTCCTGAAGTTAAAAAAGTTTTTTTACCGTGGGTTCCTGTGGAGAAAGTTTAAAAGTACCTGTTGTAGATAAACACATCCTATCCAAGTTTGTCATAACCTTTCGGATTAAGGAAGAGATTTTCGTGCATGGGAGCTGGTAAAAGGACTCTGTCCTCAGATACATGTCGCTTGGCCAGACTTTGTGCCAGTGTGGAGGATCCAGCAGAGTGGAATCCAAGGGAGGGAGAAGCCTGGGAAGAGGGAGACATTATCACTAACAGGACTTCATCCCCCAGCAGCCACTTCTCCGTCTGGCCGGAAGTGGGGCGGTACCCCGGGGTGGGGGTAGAAAGAAGCCGCAGAATGAGGCAGTATGGTGGCCGAGAGTTCTAATTCCTTATTCCCCTTCTTCCTTAGCCCCGCCCAGCCTACATTTCCCAGGAGCCTGCGCGCACTCTTCCGTTCTCCCTTTTCACTGCTCCCAATCTCCCCGCCACTCCCAGGGGGAGAGCGGGTTAGTGCGCCTGCGCCAACCCATGGCCTGCTGGGAACTGAAGTTCCAGAGGCGTATACAGTCCCCTTTCTGCTGTCCCTGTGCGGACTACAACCCCCTTGATGCATTGCGCGTCGGCACCAGCGAAGGGAGGGGGAGAGAAGAGGAGGAGGGAGGGAGTGAGAGGAGGAGGAGGAGGAGGGAGCAGGCGGCCGGCGGCGCGGGGGGAGGGGGCCCGGTCCGGGAGTGCGGGAGGCTGTGGTTGAGGGAGGTGGCGGCAGCGGCTAGCGGACTCGAGTCACAACCAGGCCGAGACAGATACCTCTGTGGAGCGAGGCAGTAGGAGCACCGAGAACCGGAGGCGGCACCGGGATTCCCGGCTCAGGGAAGGGGGGCGCCGGACCGGGAGGAGGGGAGGGGGCGATGCTGGAAGCTATGGCGGAGCCCAGTCCCGAAGGTGAGCTCTCGACCGGCACAGGGCGCTGAGCCGGCGTGGGGCGGGCGAGGAATCTATTGGCAAACTTGGAGGTCGAGCCCCGAAGCCCAGCGGGGGAGCGCGGGGAGGGGGTCGGGGGCCTGCCCCTGGAGGTTGGGGAGCGACGAGTTGAGGGATCTTGGAGAAAGAGGAGTGGGAGACTGGGTTGGGGGTAGTGGGCGATCAGACGCTGTGTGTTTGTGTGGAGGGGGGGATGGGGTGGGGAGTGGGAGCTGGAAACCCAGAGCTTCGGGGGTTAGGGGCCGAAAGGGCCTTCGGCAGGTTGGGGCCCTAGAGCTGGGAGATTGGGGAAATCTGGGGGCCGGAGAGTTGTTTAGGAGGGAGGATGTAGAAGAGGATTGAGTGAGGAGCCCGGTAGTTCGCCGAGGTGGGGGAGTTTGTGGCGGTGGTGCCGGAGCTCCCGGTAGTTGCCGCCGGAGATAGCCTGGTGATTGTTGGAGGGGTGAGCAGATAGTTGTGGGGCGAAGAGGGGGGTCTGGGTATTGTCTACGGTAGAGGAACCAGTACCAGAGGGTAGTTGTGGGGAGAGGGAGCCGTGAGGCGAGGAGAGCTGGGTAGTTTTGGGGGCGGTGGGGCGGGGTGGGGGTTTAAGACCGGCGAGTTGCGCGGCGGGGTGGGGGTTGATCGGCGAGGGTTAGAGCCAGGGAGTTGCGGAGGGTGAGGGGGCAGCGGCGGCCACAGCGGGGATTGCTGTGGAGGGAGAGAGTAGCTAGTTGTGGGGACCTAGAGTTTAGGGGTTCGTAACCTAGTGACTTGGTGGTGAGTCCGGGGGCGGGGGGGGCGGCGGCCGGAGGGAGCTCGGAACTGGGCCCGGGGGCCCGGCGAGGAGCCCGAGGCGCTCGAGACGGGGAGGGGCCAAAGCCCCGGATGGGGGCGGAGGGACGGCGAAATTGTGGGGAGCTTGGTATGGGGGGGCAGGTGGGGCCGCGTCCGGGTTAGAGCTCTCTGGTCCGTCCCGGCCGCGAAGTGGCGTTGGACGTGTGAGCCTGTGTGTGTTTAGGTGGGGGTGAGGGGCGCGCCGGGCCTCGTGCTCGAGTAGAAGGGGCCGGAGGGCGGGGAGTGGTTCGGCGTGGTCATCCTGGACCCTGGGGGCCGACGGGCGGCGTGTGCGGTCGCGAAGGGCCCGGGGCGGTGGAGCGCGGCGGGGTGGGAACTCTGGGCGCCGGGCGCGTGTGAAGGACAGGGGCAGGCGGCAGCCCGGGCTAGGTCCGGGGAGCGGTATGGCGGGGTGGGGCGCTGAGAGAGCCGAGGAGCCGGGAGTCTAGAGAAACCGTGAGTTGGGGGGGCGGGGCGCCAGGCCTCCGGTAGGGGGAAGGGGAGCGCTATAGTGAGGCCTGAGAGGGCGCCGCGCCCAGGCTCCGCCCCTCGCGGGGCGGAAGGGGGAGCAGGGGCGGGTCCAGCCCAGCTGGGGGCCTGCTGGCCTGGGAGAGGAGGGGGGTTCACTTGAGACCTCGAAGGTTGAGAGGTGGGGTTTCACACCGACTCTTGCCTAGTGCCTTGACTCAGCTTTTATTGCTTTCACAGATCCACCTCCGACTCTTAAGCCAGAGACTCAGGTGAGGTTTCCCATTCCTTTGCAACCCCCTTTCCCTCTCCTCCTCTCTATCCTACCTTTTCCAGATTCCTCATTACAGGGACTGTGCCTTTGAGAATGGCCCCTCTTAAACTCCGTGTGATACATATTTCCTTCCTTTTAGCCACCGGAGAAACGTCGGAGAACAATTGAGGATTTCAACAAATTCTGCAGTTTTGTCTTGGCCTATGCCGGTTACATCCCCCCTAGCAAAGAGGTAGGGACAGGAGGACAGCTGGCTTGAGGCGGGTATCCTAGGGCTGTAGAGGGGCTGTTGAGCATGTGAGAGTGTATTACCTTATAGACGAAGCCTAGAAATTATATGTAAGTCTAGGGAAATGGAAATTTTGGTGAAAAAACTAGCATCTGGAGTGGAGACAGGTGTCTTGAGCAGCAGTGAATGGTCTGGGGTGCCCTTAAGGGAAGGTGCTTTTGGATAAATTTTAGGAAGCTGAAAATGGTAACATGAGGCTGCACAGAAGCAGCTAAAGAAATAAGGCTCTGGTCTGGAGGATACAGTGTTGCGAAGGCAGTAGGCATTGGGGAGATGACTAGAATTTGAGGGCAGAGGTACTGTGGGAAATGCTCAAGAGGAGATACTGATGGGAACTGAGGTGGGGATGAGTTTTCTGAGTACAGTGAGAGTTGGTGGTTTTTGTAGAATATTTTGGTTTTTAAGCTTGGTTTGTAGAGGGGCTGAGATGACACTGAGCCCCCTGCTAACCTCGGTCTCTTCCCCCCTTTAAGGAAAGTGATTGGCCAGCCTCTGGCTCCAGCTCTCCACTGCGAGGTGAGAGTGCGGCAGACAGCGATGGCTGGGACTCGGCTCCCTCAGATCTCAGAACCATCCAGACCTTTGTTAAGAAAGCAAAGTCATCCAAGAGGAGGGCGGCCCAAGCAGGTCCCACCCAGCCAGGACCCCCAAGGTCCACTTTCCCTCGTCTACAGGCCCCTGACAGTGCCACCCTACTTGAGAAGATGAAGCTCAAGGACTCTCTCTTTGATTTAGATGGGCCCAAAATGGCATCTCCACTGTCCCCCACATCCCTGACACACGCCTCCCGGCCCCCTGCTGCTCTCACCCCAGTGCCCCTTTCCCAGGGGGACCTCTCCCAGCCTCCTCGAAAGAAGGACCGAAAGAACCGAAAGTTGGGGCCAGGAGGGGGGACAGGCTTTGGGGTGCTTCGGAGGCCTCGGCCAACCCCTGGGGATGGGGAAAAGAGGTCTCGAATCAAGAAGAGCAAGAAGCGGAAGTTGAAAAAGGCAGAGCGAGGGGATAGACTCCCACCTCCTGGGCCTCCCAGGGCACCCCCCAGTGATACAGACTCTGAAGAGGAGGAGGAAGAAGAGGAAGAGGAGGAGGAGGAAGAGATGGCAGCAGTAGTAGGGGGGGAAGCCCCAGCCCCTGTGCTGCTAGCACCTCCTGAGGCTCCTAGGCCCCCTGCCACAGTGCACCCCGAAGGAGCCCCTCCCACTGACAGTGAAAGCAAAGAGGTGGGCAGCACTGAAACAAGCCAAGATGGAGATGCCAGCTCCAGTGAAGGCGAGATGCGGGTCATGGATGAGGACATCATGGTAGAATCAGGTGAGAAGTTTGGGCCCGCCCAGGGGTAGCTGGGTTGATAGGTTTGGGGGTGTTGTGGATCCAAGAGCTTAGGCAGAACACCAAACAAATCTTCTTTTCCCCAGGTGATGACTCATGGGATCTGATCACGTGTTACTGCCGAAAGCCCTTTGCAGGCCGGCCCATGATTGAGTGCAGCCTGTGTGGGACGTGGATCCACCTCTCCTGTGCTAAGATTAAGAAGACCAATGTCCCTGATTTCTTTTACTGCCAGAAATGCAAGGAACTGCGGCCAGAGGCCCGGCGGTTAGGTGGGCCTCCGAAATCTGGAGAGCCCTGACATATGCCATGTCTAGGCTGGAACTTCAAATGGCAACATGACTTGGGAACTGAGCCTCAGGGTCCTCGGTCTATTCCCTGGAGCTTGGATATTGTCCCACTTCAAGGCAGAAATTCCCAAGGGAGACTGGTTTGGAAATGAGTGATGTTCCTACCCTACCCCTCCTTCCCACCTTGTGGACTTGAACTAGGACCCATTGCAGTTGAGGGTGGGGAGCTGCCTGGGTCCATAGACACTTAAGCTCTGTCCCTTGGACCTGCCACCACTCAGTTTATGGGCCAGGGTTGGAATTGGGATGGAATGGGACAGTTGTCTATAAAACTCTAGTGTAAATATAGCACTCCCCTCCCTCATCTTTTCTTTTATCTCACTCCCCATTTATTCTCACCGGTTGTATTTTTAATTTTGGACTTCCCCTTTTGAGCATGGCAGCTCAGAGGTGGAGTACCAACTAGAGCTTGGCCGAGGGAGGAAGGAAAACAGGTGACGATTCCCTCACTCACCTCTTTTGTTTTTAATAATATTGGCCAGCTGTTTGTACAGACAGCCTGCGTGTTGTAAATAAAGCAGAGTGGGCTCTTTTGTGTTTATAGCCCTCACTGACTGTCCTGCTTGGGAGGGAGGCTTTGGAAAAGTTGGCTGGAGGTGGAGCTGAAACCCACTCTTCTAAAGTCCAAGCCAAGAATGTTGCACTGCTCCTTTCCCATCAACCTTATGGACTCAGTTGGCTTTTTCCCATCTCATCCCGTCTAGGATCCCCCACAATCCCCACTTCACCTCCCACATGCATGCTCCAGTGGATCAGAGATGGCTTGGAGCTCTCCGCCCCAATGGGGTGAAGCGAGGTGGGGAGGGCAGAGGCCAGCCGAGCCAGGGTAGTGGGGGGGGACGCGGGTGGGGACTCAGTTGGGGGGCGGGACCGTGGAAGGTTGGGAGACCGTTGCAGAAAGCAGCGATCATGTGGTGGCGGCGCTGGGCGGAGCCGAGAAGTCACGTGATCCGATGAGGTCACGTGGCGGGGGCGTTACGAGGAAAGCGAGGTGGGCCAGTTCGGGTCACGTGGCG